GACAAGATAGAAAAGGTCGAAACAGTTTTGGAATGGAAAAAGAGACTGGTTTATATTTCTAACACTGGCATATAAAAAATATAGACAGAAAAAGATAAAAAGAACTAAAGGCTATTTTCCCCAGTGAGTTAAAAAAATAAATACACTGTTGAATGTGAGTCATTTAGTACCTTACCGCCTAAGACTGTATTAAAACCTGGGGATATGCTGATAAGACAAAATAGTATCCAACTTTTGACAAACATCTTAAGCATTCTGTGTCTCTATATTATATAATATTGTTTTACTTATGCATACTTAATTATAATCTTATAGTCTATGATATGTCATAACACCCTTCTTAGTATAAAATCATTAAAGAGTCACCACAAAGAAATTATGCAGCTTCTCAAGTTCTCCGTGAATCCGAGAGATGTCACGGCCAGCTTGCCTGGAACTTATTTACCATTTCGACATTACTGACACAAGGCTTAAAATTCTACTTTTTAAAACTGGCCTTTAAAGTATCCAAACTGATGCATTAATCACTGGCAGACAATAGTAGTTACGAACCAAGCCTCTGTGTCATTTAATGTTTTTAACCAAGTTTTTAAAATATATTAATTTCTCTAAACAGTTAAAACAAAAAACACTAAAACATTCATGTCCCCCCACCCTGGGTGATGGTAAGTCTGCAAGGACACACCTGGTTACCTTCACTTTGTTCAGTAAATGGATTGATCATGGAGCCAGAAAGTAAGTATTTGAGCATGAGGACAATCTGTAAAATGGCCTGATCATAAATCTTTTTCCAGGCTGTTGAGAAAATGAGACAAGGCAAGAACAGAATATGAAATTTCAAGCTCATTTGAAAACTTTAGAAAGTAATAGAGCCTATATTACATGAAACTAATAAGACAACCTATTCCAGGAAATTACAGCACTTTGGCAATGTTACTACAATACTTTGGCAATGTTTCCTGAACAAGATGATGATTAAAATTAATATCTAAAATATACCAAAGATTTCCTGCATACCAGGAACTGGGCTAAGATTATTTCATTTACCTTGAGAAGAACCACATGCAATAGTGTTGTTATTCCACTTTACACATAAAGAAGCTGAAGTTAATTATTTGCTTAAGTAACTGGCAGAGGGAAGGACCAATCTCCAGAGAAAAATTTAACAAGAACAAATCCTGTTTATTTGGAAGCAGACTCCTCCTAGAACTCTTATTTACTTTTAAATTTTACTACATTTTTATTTAATGCGTGTGGGGATTTATTTTCAGGATGTCAAAGTGTTCATGTCTAGGATGTTAAGCAGAGGTCTCAAAATCTGAGAACAAGATAACAAGTGTCAAGCCTTCTTACATTTTGAATAGAGATGCCAATCTTCCTATGCAGGAAATGCCAAGAGATTGATGAGGGAATTCTGCCAGGATAAGCCTCCTGGCAGTTCCACAGGAGAAGGTAAAGAATTAAATGGAGATTGATGAGGCTGATGGTGAGAATATCTTTGTAGAGTTGTGAAGGGGCTCTGACATTTCCCCTCTCCATGGAGAAGGAAGGATGTATTAGTTATCTGTTGCAGCATAACAGACTACTTCACCACCAGGATACTTCAAACAGTACATTTATTACCTCATACAGTTCCTGCAGATCAGGAATTTGGGAGAAGTTTAGCCGAATGATCCTGGCTCAGAGTTTCTCAAAAACAATCAAGATGTCACTTAATTAATCAAGGTCACATGCATACACTCTTGCTGTAAGAAGGTTAAAGAAAAAAAAAAGTGGGTAACTGTCTTTCTCACTTTCTGTAAGCAGTGCTCACCACCACCAAGACACACACACGGTGGGGAATTCCTCAGACACAGGAAAAGAACACAAATGATGGACAGCAGAAAATAAAACCACAGAAATGTCAAATGTAAAGTCACCCATTTGGCTGCCCAACACCAATATAACCACTGCTTTCGATGCTTATATGTCAAAAACAGTTGTCACTTAAAATATTGCAACTATCCTTCATACAGAGATGTACTCAACTCTGTCACCCTCCAAGGAAGTCAATCCAACGTTTCAACAGTTACCACATTCATCCACCTATTTCTAAGTCTAAAACCTCAAGTTGATATCCATTCCTCTGCAACTTATGGGCTAAATAATGAAATTTACCAACAATAGCACACCCTACAAACAATAGTGAAAAAAGGGTAAAGCATGAAAATAAAAGTTAAACAACATAACAGTATAAATGATGCATCAATAAAGGAAATGCAAAGAAAGATGACAGCTCTCATTTCCTCCCCTGGCCATGAGGACTTCCCCTGCATTATGACTTCTTTTATTTACCAGCCACTCTTTGTTCTCTTTACTTTCAACCAATACTTCATTTCTAAGAAACCTGAGTGTTTGATGGATCCGTCTGTTTATGTGCACCAGCAAACCCATTTCTGCTTACCAGATTAAATACTCCCACCAATACCATACCCTTGTTCTTCTCCTTCTCTTGACTATCCAGTAACACCAGACATGCAACGTAGTTAGATAGCAGTCTCAGCCTCAAATCAATTGAACCACTGTTAAGCTTTTGTTTGAAAAATTCCTTTCTTTGATGATAAACCTCTAAACCAGCAAAGCCCAGAATCTCAAAGAATGGCTGTTAAAATTTTTTTAAGTGGGGGTCACTGGGTATAATATTTCTTTGCTCCTAAATCCATCAATTTTTGCTTATGGAACTGTGGTGGTTTTAAGAACATTTCCACAAATTCTTTGACACTTCTCCCATAGAAAAGGAGTCTCCTTAGATGTAACCAGCCTTAGTATGTCCTAATGAACTAAACGTGGTTTGAAGTGGCACTGCAGGACTTCCACTGTTAGTTTAGAAAGGGCAATAGTTACAGTTTTCACCCAAATTTCTCTTTTCTGGGATGCTTGCTACTATGTTGTAAGGGACCAAACAGCACTGTGGAGAGGCCATGGCTAGGTGTCCTGGTACAGATTCAGCATCAGTCACTAGATAGGTGAAGGAGTAAGTGGGCCATTAGATGATTCCAGCCCCCCAATTTTTAGTTGACCCAACTGAATCAGATGAAAAATGAAACAGATATAAGCTGTCCCCATTGAGCCCCATGCAAATTACATTACAGATTTCTAAGCAAAGTACATATTATGGTTGTTTTAAATCACTAGGTTTGGGGGTGGTTAAACAGCAATATAGGAATAGGAAGAAAGAGTGCCATATATTGGACACTAGTTCAAAGTATATACTGTATCCCATAAGGCAGCATCAAAAAAAGGTTATCTCCCAGAAGGCACCATATCTAAGGCACCAATAAGACCAGGTGCTTCTCGGTGATAGAATATATAATTAGACCAATGTATTCTATGGGCATTAGCCCACTATATTGCTTCTTTCGTTGCCAAGTGAGTTTCTTAGTCAGAAGCAACATGGTGTCAGACACAACAATAGGGTAGGAAGCGTTCTGTAAGTCCCCAGATGGCAGTGCTGACAGAAGCACAGCAAGCAGAGAAAACAAACCGAAATCTACTGTGTGTTTCAGAGAGGACAAAAAACTATTCCCTCAATGATCAGGGCAGGCCAATGGAATCGACTTGCCTCCAAGGGGTTGGCTGATCCTCCTGGAGCATGGGGTGTGTCACCAACTCAGGACTGGTCACTGCTGCTGGCACCCCTCAGCAATGGTGTGGTGATCCCAAGCCTAACTCCAATCCTGTTATCATGGCTATTTTATTCCCAATTCCACTGAGCAAGCACCGAGCCTGGGAAAGGAGGCTGAACTTCATCCACAGAGACGTCCATGTCATCCATAGCGTCCTTAAAATTTATTCCACAAGGTCCAGAATATCCCTTCCCGGGTCTTCCTAATCACCAGTTCTCCAACCTTGTTCTTTTCACGCCCTTGACCAAATGGGCAAACAATTAGCCTCAGATCAGGAATTACCACCCAAGGCCATCTCCCCCTTCAGGCAAAGAGAACTTCAAGACAGACGGCTGGACATTCTGCCCCTTAAAAGAACGTCACAACTTTATCATTTCAACATGTAATCAATATGAAAGTTATTGAGATATTTTACCTTCTTTTCTTCATACTGAGTTTTTGAAATTGGGAGGGCATTTTACATCTTCGTCCTATCTCAAGTTGCGCCGGCTATACTTCAGGAGCTCAGGAGCCACTCATGCCCAGTGGGTGCTGTATGGGAGAGTACAGTTCTGTAGGATTCACTTTCACAAGCCTGACCGTCCTCACCACCTATCATCAGTATCAGGAAAACTCCGAGCCGAACCACCCAGAAGGGTCTGTCACCGTATAACAGATGATTTGAACCATATTCTAGAGTGAGCCCAACTCCTCTGGCATTCGCAACTTTTAAAGTTACGTCAACAACTAAAAAAAGAAATACGATGTGTTGCAATGACGTAAACACATATATCGTTTTAAATAAATGAAATCCACATTTGTATCTCAATTTTAAAAAATTGAGAACAATTTTAACTAGTATTTTCCACCTTCCTAACATCCTTTTCTCTCTTATTTAAACAGGTACTTTGCTCCGTAAGACGGGAGCCACCTCCTTTGCAATCTTCTCCTTTAAGGCCGGTTTATCATTCTCCGCATCTTGGGGTGTGTCATGGCAAGTTTGTCCGTTCTCTTGACTGTCCAGAAAATTTCGGGGAAGGGTGTCTGCCCAGGCCGACCCTTATTCATTCTCCTAGCGCTTTCCTTAGGCCTACTTGGGCCTCTGGAATTAGCTCTCCGAAGAGCAGCGGAGCCAGAGTTCAGAGGCACACAAAGCTAGATACAGATTGCTTCGTCCTCAGACTAGCTCTCTCTCCACCAGAGTTATATGCACGCGACAACTTTTAGGTACGTCTGCCTCACCACAGGGCCACCAGCCACGGCGACCAACAACGCTTGAGGCGCTACCAACAGCCTAACCTACGCCACACCACCTAACCCCTGGGCACAGTGAGAAGCGGGACTTCCGCCTGGACGGAGATACTTCCGGAAGTGACGTAGGAGTGTCAACATGCAAGATGGCGGCCCATCACCGGCAGAATACGGCAGGGCGGAGGAAAGTGCAGGTATGAGAGCCTGGCTCCTCTACCTTTCGGATGTGGCTGCCAGCCCTGGCTCACCTCCAGCGAGCAGATGCCTCGGGCCGCGATCGGCCAGGGTGGCGGCTTGGGGCGAGCGGGACGGGGCGCGGCCGGCGGCGAGGGGTGGGGCGGCGGCATTAACGGCTTGAGGAAGGGGCGGGGGTCGGTGGACCTGGGCCCGGTGCAGGAAGCCTTGGATGCTTGGTTCCGATCCCAGTGTTGTCGGCTTCCCGCTTTCTCGTGAGCTTGGGCTTGTGGGCTCAGGATAGGCTCCTTCACCGCCCACCTGTCTCCCCCTTGCCTTTCTCCAAAACCTGCTGTAGCCGCGTCCTAGCGGAGGCCTCCGGGGGCTTCCCCGGTTGGCTGGCAGGGACGGAGTGAGTGGGCCTGTGCGGGGGCGTGGCGCGGCGGCAGAGCGCAGACCATACCCCGGGGTTTCTGCCCTTTCTGCGGGAGCGCTCTCCTTGGTGAGGTGGAGACGACGGCGGAGTGTGCTGGTGTCAGAGGGAACCATATAATTTTTACTGTTTTGGAATTTAATTTCGTTTTCATCATTTCCTCATCTTCAGTATTCATCCTGGAATCTTCTGTTTCTGTAATTTATTATTTAAGGAGAGAGAGTTATCTAACCCTTTCGTATGTGCTTTATGCCCTCGTGAATCCACTCTTGTTTTATGGGTACATTTGGGAGTTATTGTTTCCTATTTTCAGCGATGCAGGGAGTAAGAGCCTTACTACAGGTATTTGCTGCAGGAATAGTGTATGTAGTAGGGACGATATGGCGCACTTACTTATTATGAAATCTTACTGAGCACGTAGTTTAGGCCCAAAAATGTGCAAAGAATTGCGAGAGAATTGGAAGAGACACCCAGGCTTTCTTTATTAAACAGCATTCTATGTGGTTCTACAGGTTGAAATCAGTGAATGTTGTTCCTTCAGTAAAGTAACCCCAGAAATTTGCTGTAAGCCATAAAGTCTTCAGGGCTGTTCACTTCTTTGTTTTATTGATCTCATATGTGAGTACAGTATCCTAAGCACTCACTAGATGTTGCATTGAGAGAAATTTATAAAAATCTAAAATAGCTTACCCGTTAGGTGATTGTTAAGTGCAAAAGTGACAGGATTTAAGTAACCTCAGCATGCAATCCATGTGAGGAGAATGTCTGCTCTTAATTAAAATGTAACTCAAAATTGTAACTTGATTGTATCCTAGACTCTAGAAAGGTACACTCTTGAGGGTGATAAGGGCAGTTAATCAGGCCTCTCAGTTTCTTGCATTTACACTTACAAAGCAATAGAAAAGTATAGGATAGGGAAATGTAAATCTGTAGTGTGTGTGGAAAAACTAAGTGTTTTAATAAGCTGAATGTGAGTCATTGCATGCTGAATGAGAGTGGTGATAATTCCACTGTTCTCTGACCAGAGTGCAAAACTAGAGTTTCAGGTTCAGCCCTTACCACCTTGCTCTTAATAGGTATAGCAATCAGATTGACAGAGTGACTTTAGCTATTTCCCATGGAGAGTATTCAAAAGAATCAAGACTAGTTTGCTGAAGAGAAGATTCAGTGAGTCTTGTTTGCTGCTTTCAGAATTTTTCCCCATGGTCTAGAACCAGTGTGAAGAGCCACCGAAATTGCCACCGAAATTGATTTTATCTCGATCTGAGGGGGAACTTTGTTTATGGAAATGTTTTTTAAACTAGTGCATGTTCACTGTAAAAAAAAACAAAAAAACCCCACAAACAAAACAAAAGTATAAATGATAATTGTCCTCCACTCTTCAAACAAAACTGTGGACACTGTGATATATAATCCTAGACCAGGGTTTTTCACCCTGTTATTGACATCTTGGGCTGGATAATTCTTTATTGGGGGGCTGGGGAGAGTGTTGTCCTACACAATGCAAGTTTGCCTCATCTTGGCTTCTACCCACTAGGTATTAACACCTTCCCAGTTGTGACAACCAAAAATGACTCTAGACATTTTCAAATGTCCCCTGGAAGGTAAAATTGTTACTGGTTGAAAACCAGTGTTCCATAACTCTTCATGCATGTGTACCTGACTTACATGATATTTTACTCTAAATGAAGTCATAATATCCACTGTCTTGTGTCTTGCTGTTTGTCAAAATTTTAAATATCTATTACCTTTGACCTAGCAATTCCCCCTTTTAAAAATGTTTTTCAGAAGTATATGTGCATATAGCTTTCTCTAGTTTTGCAAGGGTGTTTATTTATAGGATATGGGCCCGAAAATCTCTCCATCTGTAGTCAATTGGAAGATAAGTTAGGTACATTCATGTAGTGGATTAATTTGCAGTTATTAAAAATATAAGGTAGGTCTGTGTTATTAAAAAGGAAAGGTCTCCAGAAGTTAAAAATGCATGGTCTCATTTCCACAAAGGAAATAATGCATTTTAAAAGTCTGTAAGGATATTAACGGTGATTATCTCTGGTGTAGTAGAATGTGTATTTATAGCTAAGGCAGAAAATGGGATAGTTTTTACTTTAACATATATTAACCTTCTTACTTTTAAACTTTTTACAGCATTCTTTGCTCTCATAAATAAAAAAAAATCTATTTTGGAAAAGTATATATGGCTACATAAATATATTTTGCCTCCTTGGTTATCTGTGTCTTGTACCAAGAGACAGTATCCCTGGGCTTCATTACTAAATTACAAGCCAAAAAGAACCCATGAAACTTATATTGATAAATAACCAGTGGAGAGGGATCCAAACATACTGCTTATTAATTATAGACATAATGAAGGAACACATGTCTTCCATCTTCAACTTCTAAGGAGACTAGAGATGAGTAAGAGGGGGAGGAGTGGATTTGTGATTTTCAGAAACAATCAGACAATCAAATATGTGAATTCAGATATGTGGTGCTGTTATTTTCCTAGTAATCAAGATATCAAAGCAAATCTTTTCACTCCCTGGAGGTTCCTTCGTGTTATGATTTTCCAGTAACCTGAGTCTGTTGGTTGACTCTGTCTCTACCTGTCCTTCCCCTATGGCCTCTTCTCTCATTTGCTTCAGAATTCTTGAGGGGAGGTTGGACAAAAGTTAATTCCTGGTGTAGAGGTACAACCATAGCCTCATACTCAGTGATGGTTCAAGAATATAAATAACTGGCCTTTCATAATAATTATTTTGGTTGGAAATGACTCACAATCCAACTTAACTAGGCTCATGATAAAATACTGTGTTGACTCAGGTAAATAATTGAAAACTCAAGAGGCACTGCTAGTTCTATGCAAATATTGAGCCAGAGGACTCACTGTGACTGATGGTAAAGTCAGCTTTACCATCGGGCTGCCTGCAAATTGCCATCTCCTATTCCCAAACTCCCAGCTCAAGGCCTTGCCTCTTGGTGGCTGCACACCCACCCCCCGCCCTGCACTATCCAACGTAACAGAGAGTTTCTTAAGTAGCCCCTGCACAGTTTCTCCTAGAATTTGCTTGCCTTGAGGATAAAACATAGGGAGCAGAAGTGAAGAATGGAGAGACAACCAACAAATGTCTATTCTACCGGTACTTTTCCCTACTCAGTGTTTAGCTATCCTAGGCCTATTCAGAGCTCAATGTGTTCTTGACTCCTGATTGAGTCCCAATTCCAGGTTGATTGATTAATCTTTTATATTTTTTTAAGGATGTACAATGATGCCACATCCTGGCTTCTCAAGAAAAGACCTTTACAGATTAGCCATATCTGAGTTACTTTTTATGTAAGATGGGTGATTAAAACTGCGGTGGCAGTGTGACCTCTGTTAGAGCAGGGGTTGGCAAGCTTTCTGTAAAGGGCTAGATAGTAAGAATTTTAAACATTGCAGGCCAGTCTGTGTCATAACCACTGAACGCTGCCATTATAAGGTGAAACCATCCATAGACCTAACCGCCTAGGTGTGGCTGTGTTCCAATAAAACTGTATTTACAAAACAGGATTTGGCCCTTGACAGTGTGTTACTGACCACTGGAAAAGGAGTTTTTTACTAACCACCGAATAGGAGAAGGCAGTGAAGACTCCTTTTCAGAATCCTTTTTAAAATTAACACTAGAAATACAGGTTCCAGGAGGAAAAACAGATGTGAGAACTGTTGATATTTGGCCAATTTTTCTTGGCCAAATTTAGCCTGATTTAGCTTAATAGCTGAAAGTCATCTTCCACAAATGTGTGATGCCATGTATAGGATGTTGTAAAACAGGCAAAACTAATCTGTGGTGAAAAACGTCAGGTCTAGGTTGGGAACGGGCTGTAGAGCATGGGGCAACTTCCTAGGGTGGTGGTAATGTTCTGTGTGTCTTAGTAGGTGTTTGTATTGCACAGTTATATTCATTTGGCAGAAGTACCTGTGTATACTTAGATTTGTATATTTCACTCTAAGTAAGTTTGACCTTTTAAAAAAAAAAAGGAGCCATGAATAAATAGTGAGCTGTAGTTAATGATATGCATGCCGAAGTATTTAGGGGGAATTGTTATTGATGTTGTGCAGCCTGCTTTGAAAGCCATCAAAAAATAGCAGGACCAAATGGATAGATGGTTATGAGGTAAAGCGAATATAGAACATGTTAATTGTAGAATACTTACATTTGGTGGGTCTATGAATGTTTGCTATATAATTCTTTCAGCTTTTGTATGTGTTTGGAAGTTTTCATAATAAAAGGTGGGGAGAAGTTAAGCTTTAAAGGTTAAATAATGGATAGTGATAAGCAGCAGAAGATGGGGAAGTGAACTCTTAGTTGCAGTGGCCAGAGAAGGCCTTGCTGAGAGGCTGACTTGAGTAAGGATCTGAAGAAAGTGAGCTTGTCATCTTGGGGAAGAGCATCCCAGTGAGGATATCAAATGCAAAGGTCCTGAGGTGGGAATGTGCCCGGCCTATTTGTGGGAGAAAGGTGCCTTTGTGGCTGGCACGGAGTGAGTGAGGGAAGGGGAGGAGGAGATGAAATCAGAGAGGCAACTGCAAGCCGGATCGTGTAGAGC